TCAAGCCCCAGTACCAAAAAAAAAGATGCTCCTAGACAGAAAGAAGGCAAACCAATCAGGTTAATGTGGCACTATATTCAAAGAGCTACTTCTAAGAGAGACTGCCTCATTCAGAGCAAGCACAAGTGCCAAGTCCAGTTGGTCAGATTTTACACTTTAGAAAGTCACCGTTTCTCCTACCTCAACTCAAACTACAGCTGCTTAGGCAAGTGGCAGACATGTGACAAAGAGAAGACAATCCTTAGGCTAATCAGAGACCTTGAATGCGGCTTGGCATTCAGAAAGGAACTTTTGTGGAAAAAAACCAAAAAACTAAATGAACAGATAGTATGAAAATGGTTGCAAACTACTAAGAGGTTGGATTTAGCCTACAAATGTGCTCTGTGCCTTGCACAATATACTACACCCAGCTTGTGGCCTCTAAATATCATTCCCCATGAAAAGAAATCAAAGGACTGGTGGTGTGGCTTAGGTGGTAGAACCCCTGCCTAGCAAGTGCAAGGCCTGAGTTCAAACCCCAGTACTATAAAAAAGAAAGAGAAAAAAAAGAGGAGTCATTGGAGAAACACATGATCTGAGGTCTGGGGATGGACACATGCAAGGTAAGTACAATATACCTTGTGCCAGAAAACAAGGAAGCTAGCAAAGTCGAATGGGATTGCATCAAAAATGATACTGGAGCCAACACGAACGAGCTAAAGGAACAATTTAAGCATAAAGAACAAACACAATTAACTAAAACACAATGACTCTAAAAGTCAAAACAGACAATAAAAAAATGAGATCAGTACAATACTTAAAACAAAACAAAATCTTATTTGGCCCAAGATGAAATGTCAAGGGCAACAAGATATTACTCTGAAAATTGTCAATTAGAAAGTATGAATTCCGTGCATATCTGCCTACAAATAAAATACAAACTAGTGTACTTTTCTAACTATACTGATGTCTTTTTACTTCATTTCAGAATAAATACTCATACCCCCAGTACAATATTTTTTTAAAAATGCTCATTGAAAAAATAAAATTTTTGCTGAGCATGGTAGTGCACACCTATAATTCAAGCACTCAGAAGGCTAAGGCAGGAGTACTGTGAGTTCCAGGCCAGCCCAGGCACTGGTGGATCATTTCTGTAATCCTAGCTACTCAGAGGCAGAGATCAAGAGGACTGCAGTTTGAAACCAGCCCTATCTCAAAAATACTCAATACAATAAAGGGCTGGTGGAGGGGCTCAAGTAGTAGAGCACCTGCTTAGCAAGCTTGAGGCCCTGAGTTCAATCATCACTTTATAACCTTAAGGAATAAATTCATGCTATAGTCATCAGAGGACTCTCCAGTAAACAACGGGAAGCTTTACAATGGTGGCTTAAGGCTATTACCACCTGGATAGGCAGAAATATTGAACCTCCAAAATGTCCACAGCCTTACCACAGAACCTCTGAATGCTATCTTATATGGCAAAAAGGAGTTTTGCAGATGTTGACTAAGGGGCTTGGGTGGTACTTTGTCCCTATAAGGCAAAGAGGGAGGCAAGAGAGTCAGAAACAATGAGATGATGGAAGCACAGGAGGGAGGGAGGAAAAGGGGAAGAAAGAATATGAAGATACTATGTTACTGGGTCTGAAGATGGTGGAGACATGAGCCAAAAGCCAAAGAAAGCAGGTAGCTCTAGAATGTAGAAAAAGGCAAGGAAAGTGATTCTGCCCCCAGCCTGCAGCAGAAGCACAGCTTAGCTGACACCTTGATTTTAGGACTTCTGAGCTCCAGATCTGTTAAGATACCTATCAGTCACTAAGTTTGTGGTAATTTGTTATTGCAGCAGTAGAATCCTAATACACATTTGAGCACACTTATCAATCTTAACAGATCTAAGAGGCACAGAAGAACAATGTCTTCCTGCCCTGGTGCCACATGAAGTATTCAGCATGACCTGTGTAGCACTGTCACCAAAGTATAAAACTGAATCTAATTATGTTTTTATAACTTATTCATTGTATAAGAAATATGGGGGGCTAAATTGATTAAATGATACATCAACAAAGAAAACAGGGCTGGAGGTGTGGCTCAAGTGGTACAGCACCTGCCTAGCAAGTGTGAAGCCCTGAGTTCAAGCCCCAGTGCGGGGGGCGGGGGGAAGTCAACAAGAAAGAAAATGAATCCAAAATACAGGACACTCTTCATGGAGAAGTATCTTCAACAATACAACTACAAGCAGGTGGTTGGAAGAATAGACTGTTCTAAAGTAAAGAGAATTTAAAGAGATAACAAATTAATTTTAAGTAGATTTTTTTTTTAAACAAGTAGGAAAATGTTAATATGTGCTGGGTATTAAAGATTCATTACTGAGTTGAGAAGAGGATCTTACTATGTGACCCAACTGGTCTCAAACTCACATTGATCCTCTCACCTCAGCCTCAATTTTTTTTGTTTTTGGATGGGACTGGGATTTGAACTCAGAGCTTCGTACTTGTAAAGCAGGTGCTCTACTACTTGAACCTCCAGGCCATTTTGCTCAGGTTGTTTTTTGGGGTAGAGAGGGTCTTTCGAACTATTTGCCCAGGCTGGCCTAGAATCAGGATCCTGACCATCTCAGCCTCCCAAGTAACTAGGATTATAGCTGTGAACCATCAGCATTCGGCTTCAATTTTTTTTTTTTAAAGATGGGGTCTTGCTATATTACCCAGGCTAGCTCTGAACTCCTGGGATCTTGCCTTGGTCTCCGGAGCAGCTGGGACTAGAAGTGCACACCACTGTACCAAGCTTTGGTTAACTTTGTGAGATGTGATTATAGCCATATAACATTGTGGTTATGTTCAGGTTTTTAAAAGAAATTCACAATGAAATTCCAGGACATCTAGGATTTATTTTGAAACAATTTAACATAATAAAATGTAACGGGAAAGCAGTGAAGATAACACAAGAACTGACCTGGATAATTGCTAAATCTGGGTAATGAGGATAAAAGTGGACTTAGTACACTATTCTCTACAATACTTAAAACAAATCACCATCAAAACTAACTTGAATTGGTTGGTCACATTTAAAAATCTATAGCTTTCACGTCAAGATCTAAATTTCTGATTTCATTTGAAAAATTGGATGTGACAAAAGGGGCCATATGCTTGCACATGCTTGTCATGTCTTAATGACAAGTCTCATTAAGAGCTGGGTACTGCTGGACATGATGGCACATAGCTGTAATTCTAGCACTTGGGAAGCTGAGGCAGGAGGATGGGGTCTAAAGCCAGCCGGGGCTACATAGCAAGACCCCATCCTCTCCTGGCCGCTGCCCTCCTCTCCAGGAAGAAAGAAAGAGAGAGCGCTGAGTGCTCCTCATCCCAAATTAACAGTTAAGTATTTATCATCACTGCGAGTGGGGGTTCTTCCTTTAAATATCTGCACCAATTAATTCCTATGTGTTATCTACTTGGCATTTGGGTTTGGAACCCCAAGAGAACATAGCAGACATGAGAGTAACTGAATGATGGTGAAATGCTAATGCACAGAAGCACAAACTCCTGCTGATAAGTCCTTTCAATAGCCTTAGATCCAGATGGAGTTCCAGGAGGACTACACTATAGGTCCAATTTTGATTGTGGGCTTGCTAGGAGCCAGACCTCTAGAAAATATGCACTTGAAACTAATTCCTGCCCTCAGAATTTTAGTAGTTTGCCAAGGTCGGTAAGGCATAAATGTTAACTACAATACAATACAAAAAATAAATGAGACTCGACATAGAAAGCAAAAAGAGATCATGAGGGGCACTACAGAGTATGCTGGGAAATGTAAATATTCAGATGAGCAACAGTGAGCCACTGAAGGGTTTTTAAATATGAGAACAAAGGAGAGAGCAGCACTGAAGGTGAGGACAAGGGCTCTTTCATTGCTCAAATTCTGACTCCATGAACTACACACTTTGAAGAGCCAGAACTATGCTCCCCCTCCCAAAAACACTGTATATATATGCCTCTAAAACTTTGCCATCAACGCTTTCTTAGGTAGACAGATTTCTCAAAGAGAATAAAAAAGGATGGGTCACAAAACAATAGCCCTGAAAATTGTTTATATCCCTCAAATAGAGTATAAATTTCATCTGTTATCACTGTGCGTTCCAGTGCTTTAACCATAAAATATGGCCTTTATTTTATCTAAACTTCAATTGAGAAGTAAAAAATGTTTCTTTCTAGGCTAAATTCCACAAACAACAAGAACAAAAAAAAAACCCTACAATCACCAACCTGCTTACTATGAATGAATAAAATCACCTAAAATAACAATCAAATCTCAACTGATATTAAATTATATCAACGATTCAAAAAATCAGGCCAGGCCACTCTTCTAAGCGTCTAAAGAGAAAGAACTAGAGACTAAGATCATTTTATGACCATTAATGTATTTTAACCAATCCCAGGAAGTACAAATTAAAAGCAAGGAGGAGAATAAGCTCGCACCCCTTTTCCATCAACCTACTTAACTACCAAACTAAGAATCAAGTCCATCTGTATCCTTCAGTTTATCCTGCTTGGGCCTCCGTTTCCTCATTTGCAAAGTGGAGCCAACAGTACCCATCTGCTTGGTACCTATCTGCGAACTAAATGGTAATACGAGACAGGAAGTGACACAGCAGATGCTCAATAAATGACAAATTGTATTAACTATCTCATTATCTCCCTGTAGGTAACCTGGTGTCTTACTGATACCAGTCCCCACAAATCCTCAACATGCCCTAACAAGTGCAGGGCCTTGATAACGAACCCAAAATCGAGGTCGCCCTCCCGGGCAGGCCACCACATGGGCCTGTCCCAGGGCTCCTCCAGGGCCGGCCCCGCCCCGTCAAGCCAATCCCGCGAGGTGAGGGGCGGGCCCCACCGCGCTTCCTTAGGCCTCCAGGGAGACCCGGCCAAGCCCCGGCCTCCGCCCGCCGGCCGACCACCCAACCTCGGCCTCCTCGGACCACGTCTGCTGTCTTCCCGCCCGGCCCGCGACGCCCAGTGCCGCACCTTAAGGTGGGTGCGCAGGCCGCCAGCGCCCCCGGACTGGTCCGTGATCTCGTACGCGCCCGTCACTAGCAGGTCCCTTGTGGATCTCCTCGCGGAGACACTTGCGAGAGTTTACCGGAAGATAGAATGAGATGGAGAGGACCGAGCTAGGGCCGAGGAGAAACAGAAACAGCAACGCCAACTGGCGAGGACTAAGCCAGGCCAGTGGGCCAGACAAACCAGACATGGTGCCGGAGACTTCGTTCTCCAGTAGGGGCCTCTACCACGCCGGAACCGAGAGGCCACACGTGACTCACCTCTGACCTAGCGATGCCGTCGGCGCCATCTTTGAGACTGGCTAAGCTAAGCTGAATATATAGCAAATAATTTGAGAGAGGAGAAATGATATGCTACTATGTTATAACCACAAGTTTAAGTGGTTAATTAAGATTTCCTAGAACTTTGTCGTAAAAGTTTAACTTTAGCGGAGGATAGAGATTATCGAGTCGGCCATGGCAAGTTTGGGCAGCCCCGGAAGTAATTCTCTTAACCTCCGGAAGCTGTACCTGCGGGTTTTTTTTTTAAGGTCGGTGACACCATAGCAACCAAGCCCCAATAGCGAACAGCCACAAGGCACTTCGCCTGGCCCGCCCGCCCACCCCCTTGGCGAGCCGGGCGGAGGCGGAGAATCAGGCTGACATCGTCAGAGCCTTGACGTCGTGGTGGTAGCTGGGACAGTTAAGCACTTGAAAGCAAAAGTTCAAGGAAAATTTTAATTTGCTTATTAGAAAGTGTGATCCAGTATCTCAGAGAAGAAGGTATTGAGGCCACTAGGTGAATGTGAGCTGGCAGGCATCCAGTTCTTTTCTTTCTTTCTTTTTGGTAGTGGGTACTGAGGACTGAATTCAGCCGAGTACATTACCACTTGAGCCACGCCCCCAGGCCAAGTTCATACTCCTGAGCCGATATTCGGTCTGGAGCAACAGTTTGGCTTTCCAATGGGCACCTTATTTAACAAGCATTCAGCTTGTTGACTATATATCCTAGCATATATCCTATGTTATATGCAAAGCAAGTTTTACTTTTGCATTTAAACTGAATAAAACACCATGTTTTGGTTCAGTCTTAGAGATGGACATACACTATAAGGACTTACCAGATAAGCGTTATCAGGAGAGGCAAATGTTTGGGTTTTTCAAATGCATACTTCAGACCAAATAGGCTAGTATATTCTATGCAAATTCGCTTGGTAATCATTCATGCATTCATTCAGCAAATAATGATACCTGTTGTGTGCCAGATGCTGTCCTATGTAGGTATGCCATTATGTTTATTTAACAAGTCATTCTTCGGATACCACCAAATATTAAGAGTTCTAGAATATGTGAAGATAAATAAGGAGTATAAACCAGGCCCAGCACACCTTTAGTCCCTATTACTCCAGGAGGCTGAGGCAGGAGAATGTCTTGAACCCAGGAGTTGGAGCCCCCGCTGCCTCTTAAAAAACAAACAAAAAACCCAAGGAGTACATCATTATCTACTTTGATTGATGTTTTTTGAGCATCAGCAGAAAACCCAGAAAGATGAACTATCTGCCTTTAGTAGCTGAAATGACTTTGCTTTTTTAATGTAACTCTATTGTTCCACCTAGTTCTTTTCCCGGAACTGAAGTCCCACAAACAAAACAAGAACAAACATAAAGGAGCTGTTAAGCGTTTTAAAATTTGAAAAAATGCCCTATAATAATTATTTTATGAGGTGTCCACTGAGGAACATTTAGTTTGATAGTTTTATCCCTGATCTAAGATAAGATTGCTTGTCTACTGATAATTTGCATTGGCCTTTTCCCTGCCAATGCAGGGGAATCAGTACAAAAAGTTTTCTAACTCATGGTCCTGAGGTTCTGCTAACCATTAGCAAGATATTCCCAAACCATAAAATACCTGTGTGTGTTTTTTTTTTAGGTTTTCATTTTACATTCACATAATAGATATGCATTTTAAGGTATTTTCACTTTGGGGGAGCTGTAGTGGAGGGTTTCCATTCTGTTAGTCCTGTTTTGTGGGAGTATTTTCAAGACAGGGTCTCCTCAAACTATTTGTCCTGGGCTGGCTTTGAATGGAGATCTCCTGATCACTACCTTCTGACTAGCTAGGATTACAGGTGTGAGCCAACAGTGCTCAGATACTCTGGAGTTTGAACTCAGGGCTTTGCACTTGCAAGTCTCTACCACTTGAGCCATGCCTCCAGCCCTCACTGTTTGTATTTGACCTTTTGAAACATCTTGCTATATAACCCAGACTGTTCCAACTCTCAATCCTCCTGCCTCAGCTTCCTGAGTGCTGGGGTTACAGGTGTGCACTGCCACACCCACATATTTTATTGATCATGTGAAACAGTCTGGACAGCTCTTTTCATTTTTACAGATAAGGAAACTGAGGACTTGGAAACAAGGAACTGCTAAAGAAACAATTATTCATGACACTTCCTAGAGACTTTCTTTATCCAATGGGACTATGGAGATTGGTTGCTCTTCCATAGTGAGGTTTTGTTGGCAGAGGAGAGAGATCGGTCTCAAATCCAAATACAAGGAAAAGTAGGAATTTATAGCCAAGGATCTGGGTGGAGTTGGTGGGTAGAAAACTACTAAGGGTAAATATCAGGGGTGAGGGACAATTCAGGCTAAACTGACTTAGCAGGATTCTTGACTAAACAATGCACAGATACAAAAATCCAAAAGTCAGGGTGTAGTTGAGAAGAAAGTTCAGAACAGTATGACTAGAACAGGTCAAAGAGAGAATCTGTCAGTGCTCAAAGTCCCATAGCTTAAAAGTGAGAAAGGAAGTGGGCCTTCCAAAGGAAAGCACTATTACTATAATTTCTTATTTTACACATGATGAAACCAAGGCTCAGAAAACTTGAGTTACTTTTTTAAAATTGTGCTGAGGGTACAAAAATTCTTATATTAAATAAATCATACTTGAATTCACCCCTCCATCATTCTCCTTTCTTGAGTTACTTTTCTATGTCACAGCTCATGAGTCCTTTCTTGTTCTATATTCTCATTTGTCCTTGGTCCCCAACACTTCCTGTCTCAGCTCTCCTTCATTTTTCCCTTTTAGCTATCATCATTAAAGTGGTGCACTTTACTTATTAGTTATTGTGTTTGCTAGTCTGGCTCCCTAACTGAAATGTCTATTTTGTGAGGCAAGGATTTTTGTCTTTTTTTTTTTTAACTGCTTTATCTTCTTAACATAAAATAGTGCCTGAAACTTTGGCGCAGTAAATAATGGTTCTGTGGGTGCAAGACTAGTTCCTTGGCTCCTAATGGAAGGCCTAACAGTACATTCCTTCCATTATTCCTTAGTGATTTCCACACAAATTTATTTAATACATAATGTATTAAACGCATACCTAAAGTATTGGTATGATTTCAGTTCATCGACGTTATGCATTTCTTCTTCTTTTGTATTTTGAGACAGGGTCTTCATATGTAGCCCAGACTGACCTTGAACTCCCTAAGTAGCCCAAGCTGGCCTAGTGCTCTCTATCCTTCTGCCTCAGCCTCTCAAGTGCTGGGATTACAGACGTGCCCAACCACACTTAGCAATTTTTCATATATAAATTGGGAAATGTGTTCTTGTTTTCACATAAGGACAGAGAACAATAACAATAAAATCTCTGTGCTGTGGACTTGGAGGGCATGGTAGAGATCCCTAGGGAACCAAAACTTAAATTCTGCACTTGCATTAAAGAAGGTGCCACTTTAAGCCTGGTACTGGTGGCTCATGCCTGTAATCCTAGCTACTCAGGAGGCAGAGATCAGGAGGATCTTGGTTCCCAAGCCAGCCTGGGCAAATAATTCAAGAGACCCTATCTTGAAAATACTCAATGCAAAAAAGGGGCTGGTAGAGTGGCTCAAATGGTAGAGCACCTGCCTAGTAAGCATGAAGCCCTGGGTTCAAACCCCAGTACTGACAAAAAAAAAAAAAAAAGAAGAAGAGGAAGGTGCCATTTTACATCTGTATGAGAATACAGCCTCATTTGGAGTTGGAGATCATATAGAAAGTGTCCCACAACCAGAGTAAATGCTTCTTCAGTCCTCTGCCATCCTGTCATCCTGAAACTTCCCCAGCCAGACCCACCTAAGATTCCTGAGCCACCAAAGACTCTGGAAGTGAAACATCACAAGGACACACCCTCTACTCAGTCTGTCCGTAAGCCACGGGTTTCTCAACTTTTCCTTTGTAAAAGAAGGAGCATGTTTAAAACACACCTCGCCCAGACAGTGAATCAGAAGCTCTTATGAAAAACTGGCATTTGTAACCAGCTTGCTGGGTATTCTGTGGTTGAGAGTCCTTGGGAGCACTTCAGTCCTCTCCTGCTGCCTCCTTTAACCAGCCTAATCTTTCAGTGTGGCTTGAGGCTCCCCAAGCACCAATTCATAAGCCGTCCAGGATCCATGACTCCAGAGTGCCTGCCCATTCATGTGTACTGTCCCACGCACACTGTGTATTTACATAGCTAAGACAAGATGGGTTCTGTGAAGATACAACAGACCCCTTTTAAAAGCAATTTGGTAATATTTGTCATGTGTCATACTCTCTGACCCACACAGTGATTCCAGGATCTGTTCAATTGGTCCTCTAAATGTTGAAGCCCCCAGGACCTGGTCCTAGAACATTCACACTGCACTGTAGACCATGTCCTCCAATCCTGTGACTTCAAATGCATCCATAGACAGATAACTTCCAGACATGGATCTCTGGTTCTGACCTCTCCCCTAAGCTCCAGAGTCTATATTGAGCTCTCGGCTCAACAACCCCACTTAGATGACTAATAGACAGATAGCTAATTCATACTTAACTCTTGATTTCCCTTCTCCCCCCTCCTCAACTCTCAAATCTGCTTCCTCCTCATCTCTGTAAACAGCACCACCTTTTACCCAGTTCCTGAGACCATCCTTGCTTCCTCTTTATTTATCCCCTGTCCACACACAGCCAGTTCATCAGGAAGTCCTATCTATGTCCTAAATAGATGATAATCAGTTTCTCCTTTCTAAGCAAGGGGACTGCAAACTACTGCTCAACTCGGCAAGTCAAATCTGGCAGTGTACCTCCTGTCTTCGTATTGCCCAAGAGCTAAGAATGTTTTTTTACATTTTTAGACAGTTGTTTAAAAAAAAAAAAGGAGGAAGAGCAGGAGCAGAATGTGTGACAGAGGGCTCTGTGACCCACAAAGCCTGAAATATTTTCCATTTGACCCTTTATGGAAAATGTTCATC